ATTAGGTGATATAATGCCCCGCATACAACGCCTTGGGTTTCTTATTCTTTGCTTGTCCGTCGATGAAATTGGTTAGAAAAAACTCGATATGGATGGGGTAATGCTCGACATACTGTACGGGCATAGTAGATCCTATGAACCTACTACTCTTGGACTATCCTTCCTAGCATTAAGTGATCGGGCTAACGACCTATGGAGGTATCTCAATACGGGAGATTTTAAAGCGAGTGCTCTTTGATTTGCTAGGGTTGTACTACAATTCATGGCTAATGCGTCTCCAGTAATTTTCATAACCGATGTTCATTGGTAAAGCCGTTTTCAACTCATAGTATTCTTGGCTTGCTACAAACTCTTAAGAGTAAATACCCATGTGGATGGAAGGTAGTGTAACTCATTTGTATCGCCTTCCCATTCAATTTGAACTAGAGTACATCATCAATATCCATGCCCCGAAGCTTACCCTATATTGTAAAGGTTAAAAGCACCTCTAATGTCGGATCTTAGTAAGCAATGGGCTAAATCCCAAAGAATCTATCCTCACCACCGGTAGAAATCAAGCCCTCGACTTCCGCTTTAACCCTAGTAGCTGCAGAGTCCCCTAATTTATACATCTGCAGCTCTAAAAGGGTTTTCCCTATAAAAACTCATATCGATCTTTCTCGGCTCTAGATAATTTCGGTATCTGCCGCCTAGCTGGTGGTTGGGGGTTTCTGCCGAGGTTGAATCTATCTCGAGGGTCGGCTAAATGAGCTCTCATCTCACTCGCCTCTTCCTCGAAGGAATCTTCTTCCTTTGTTGAGGTTGCTCCGGAGTTCTTATCATTCTCTTGTGTCCATCAAGCTTTAATAACAAAGGTTGTCCGAATCTATTTAACGAGCACATAAAAATCGAATGACATTAAACAACTTCATAAAATAATGCACAACGGGAAGATTGTTAAGCATTAATTCCTAATATGGGTGATCTTCTTATTGACATTCGAATTGGATCAATAGATAATTTTTTATAACAATGGCAACTAGATAACCAATTAATCCAATCCAAATAGAACAAATGGAAGCTTCAAAAATCACATCCCCGGCACCTATGCTAAGCATAATCATCAATTACATCCCTCACACGCAATTCATCGAACAAGTAGTGTGCGGTTTTGTTAAGCAATAATTCTACATTTATATGCAATATTTACCACAACCCATGCAATGATATTTGCACACCGAATACTACCTAAAATTACCAACCAACACATGCTTCAACAACACAACAATGAATCAAGTACTAGGTTGCTCAAAACTCAAGCATCCAGAATAAAATAGACCCCAACACTAGAAATTAAAAATGGAATAACACATCTATGGCCTTGATTTCTCTCACATTCAGTAACACAACCAAACATGTGTAAAATCATGAAAACCCATTGTGATTCAACACTAAAAATAAAGATTTTAGAGACCAAACCTAATTCGGGTCTCGGAGATTAGAATAGAGGCCGAGTAACGATGACCACATATGTGCTTGTGATAACCGAGAGGTAAGTGTGTGGCGACACGGTGGAGACGGGTCGTGGTTGGGGAAGTGAGGGAGAAGGGTTTTGATGCAGCACAAAACCATGTATTTTTAAAAGAGAAAAAGGGTTTTAAAAATATAAACCATATGACTTAAAAGGCAATTGCATGGGCTAAGACACGGTCGTGTCTTAGGTCGTGTCTTTCCGAGTAACCCAAATCGTGACGGACGGTTACACGGACTAAATACACGACCGTGCATTTCGTCGTATCTTTCCGATGAACACCAAAATCAAACAAACAACTACACTAGCTTAGACACGGTCATGTCTTTGGTCATGTCTTTTAATTGAAACCCCAAAGTAGATAGATTGTTACACGGGTAGAGACACAACCATGTCTCATCCCGTGTAACTTTCTGTCTCACCGTAAAGCCTTTCTTTTATATATCAAAGAAATGAAGTAACACAATATTGAAAAATAAACTTGGGTTGCCTCCCAAGAAGCACTTGTTTAATGTCATTAGCTTGACGTTCTTGAAGTTCATGGTTCTATAGGTTGGAGATTGAACTCCTCTCTACCAAGGTTGTCAATATTGAAAAATAATCGATGACCATTTACCTTAAACGTACCTTTATTCGGATGTGTGATTTCTATGGTGCCATAGGGAAAGACTTGTCTTACCGTGAATGGTCCCAACCGAGTGAGATTTAAGCTTACTAGGGAACAATCGAAGGCGGGAGTTATACAAGAGTACTTCATCTCCCTCTTTGAATAGTTTGGCTTGCTTAATGTTGCAATCATGATACTTGTTTAGCCCTTGCTTTGTATAGCTTTGCATTCTTATAGGTCGCCAAGTGCCGGTCTTTAAGCTAATTGATTTGAAGTTTCTGTTTTGTCCCGCAAGATCAAGGTTAAAATTGACGGACTTGATTGCTCAAAGTGCTTTATGTTCAAGTTCGACTCGTAAGTGGCATGCTTTGCCATGCACCAACCTATAAGGTGTGGTGCCTATAGGTGTTTGTATGCCGTTCTATAAGCTCATAAAGCATCGTCTAGCTTTTCCGACTAATCCTTTCTATAGTGCTCTATGGTCTTTTCTAGAATCCTTTTCGAGTTTCCTATTAGCTACTTCTACTTGGCCATTAGCTCGTGGATGGTAAGAGGTAGCTACTCTATGTGTAACACCATACTTCATAAGAACCCTAGAAAATTAAGTGTTACAAAAGTGCATGCCCCTATCACTTATAATTGCTTTGGGTGAACCAAATCATGAAAAGAACTTTTTCAAAAACTTTTCCACCACCCTAGCATCATTAGTGTGTAAAGCCCGAGCTTCAACCCATTTAGACACATAATCAATCGCCATAAGAATGTATTTATGACCATTCGAAACAGGAAAAGGACCAATGAAGTCAATGCCCCAAATATAAAAAATTTCACAAACCAATATATAGTTTTGGGGCATTTCATCACATCGAGAAATGTTATATGATCGTTGACAATTATCACATGATTTCACATACCGTTGGGCATCCCGAAATAATGTAGGCCAATAAGAACCCGACTCAAGCACTTTTTGAGTCATCCTGTTTGCATGGTAGTGTCCATCGGTGGGTCCCGAATGGCAATGATCTAGGATTTTCCATCCCTCTAAGTAGGAAACACATCTCCTAATAATCTAGTTTGCACGAGATCTTAAACAAATATGGATCCTCCCAAAGGTAGTTCTTTAATTTAGAAAAGAATTGCTTCTTTTGTTGATGAGTGAGTCCTTTGGGAAGGATCTTAGCAGCTAAATAATTAGCAATATCAGCAAACCACGGGGTTTTAAGCTCACTTACTTGTTTAATGTTATAGAGGCTCTCTTCTAGGAATGCATCATTGATCTCTTCTTCATCAAGTTTCTACAAATGAGGGCTCTCTAATCGAGACAGGTGGTTTATGACCAAGTTCTCAACTCCCTTTTATCTATGATTTTTAAATCAAATTCTTGCAATAGCAAGATCCACCTAATCAACTCTGGATTTAGCATCCGCTTTGTTCAACGGATATCTCAATGCGGAATGGTCAATGTAAACAACAATCTTGGATAGGACTAAGTAAGATCTAAATTTATCAAACGCAAAAACTACGACTAGCAATTCTTTTTCTATAATAGTATAATTCTCCTATGCATCAGTCAAAGTCTTGCTAGCATAGTAAATGGGTTGAAAATGTTTGTCTCTGCACTGTCTAAGAACCGCACCAACTACAAAATCACTAGCATCACACATTATTTCAAAGGGAAGATTCCAATCTAGGGTAACCATTATTGGGGCATTAATCAATGTTTCTTTTTGAGTGTTAAAAGCATTCAAACACTCCTCTTTGAAAACAAAAACCGCATCTTTCTCAAGCAACTTGGTTAAAGGCCTAGAAATTTTAAAAAAGTCTTTAATGAATCTCCTATAAAAGCTTGCATGACCCAAAAAACTTCTAATAGCCTTAATCAAAGTTGGGGAGGTAGTTTTTCAATAGTTTCAATTTTTGCTCCGTCTACCTCAATCCCCCCTTATAAGAGATTTTATGGCCTAAGACTATACACTCTTGTACCATAAAATGACATTTTTTCCAATTTAAAACCAGATTAGTTTCTTCACACTCGTTCAAGCACTCTTTTTAAATTATGGAGACATAAACCAAAAGAATCACCAAAAATAGAAAATCATCCATAACTACCTCCATTACGTTCTCCACCGGATCATCAAAATGGCCATCATGCACCTTTGAAACGTAGCAGGTGCGTTGCACAACTTGAATGGCATCCTTCTATAGGCTAACGTGACATAGGGACACGTGAATGTGGTATTTTCTTGGTCTTCTGGGGTTATAGGAATTGAAAGCGACTCGAAAGACCATCTAAGAAACAAGTAATACATGTGTCCCACTAGTCGCTCCAAGCATCCGATCAATAAATGGGAGAGGAAAATGGTCCTTCCGAGTGGCATCATTCGGCTTTCTATAGTCGATGCACACTCTCCATTCGGTGACCGTTCTTGTTGGAATCAGCTCGTTTTGTCCATTTGGGACCACTATCGTCCCTCCTTTCTTTGGAACAACTCGCACGGGGCTCATCCAAGAACTATCGAAATAGGGTAAATCACTCCCGCATCGAGAAGTTTAATTATCTCGGTTTTCATAACTTCGTTCATATTTGGATTAAGCCTCCTTTGAGGTTGCACCATTGCCTTAAAATCATCCTCCACCAAGATTTTATGAGTGCAAAAAGAGGGGGTAATTCCTCTAATGTCCGAAATTTTCCAAGCGATAGCCCTCTTATGCTCTCTAAGAACATCTAACGACTTTTTCTTTTGATCCACCTTTAGCTTGGAAGAAATTATTACCAATAACTTTGAATCTTTTTCAAGAAATGCATACTCTAAGTGTTCTAGTAAATTTTCAATTCCAAACTAGGTGGATCCTCGATAGAGGGTTTTAATCTCTTTTCCTTACCTCTTTTAATCTCCTCAAACTCCTTCTTCCGAATCATGAACTCGGTAGCTTCTAGACGAGCTACTTGCTCAACTCTAATGGGGTCATCCCCATCATTCTCCTCACCTTGAATGATACACAACTCCAACGAGATCATCATATATAATTTCCTGCATAAATTCTAAAACCGTAGTATCAATAGCATCAATGAAATAACATTTGTCATCATGTTTAAGGGAATGTCTCATAGATTTTGATGTAAGAAAAGTTACCTCTTCATCCCCAACCTTAAGAACAAGCTTACCATCATTAACATTAATAATGGCTCTAGCGAGTAGCTAAAAATGGTCGTCCTAGGATTAACGATACTTCTACATCCTCATCCATATTAAGTATCACAAAGTCAACTGGAAAAATAAATTTATCCACCTTAACCAATACATCTTCAATTTTACCTCTAGGGTATTTAACAAATCTATTTGCTAACTGTAAGCTCATTCTTATCGGTTTAGGTTCTCCCAATCCTAGTTTTTTAAACATTTTATAAGGCATTAAATTTATATTGGCCCCAAGGTTGGTCGATGCCTTTTCAACTAACAAACTACCAAATGAACAAGGAATAGTAAAACTCCCTAGGTCTTGTAATTTTTTAGGTAGCTCGTTTTGCAAGATAGCAAAGCACTCCTCACTTAATGCCTTTGTTTACAGCTCTTCCAACTTCCTCTTGTTTGAAAGAAGTTCTTTAAAAAATCTAGCATACTTTGGCATCTACGAAAGAGCTTAAAAAAAGGTATATTTATATGCAATTGTTTAAAAAGTTCAAGAAATTTACCAAACTCGTTCATCCATGTGGTCTTTTTGTAGCTTTGTAGGATATGGAATGGTAGGTTTGAAGTCTTTCACTCGGTTGAGGTTACTTGCTAAGTTTTTCCAACTCTTTACTCATTTCGCCTATTTTCTCTTCTTCACCTTTCTTCTCCTCCATTTGTAATTCCTTTCCACTTCTAAGAGAGCTGCCTTCACATGTTCTCTCGGGATTAGTCTCGGTATTACCGAGCGGACTACCCTATTGCCTCTTAGAAAAGGACTTGGCAAGTTACCCAATTTGCTTCTCAAGGTTGTGGATAGAAGCCTCTTGGTTTCTCAATGTCTGTTTCGATTGCTCGAAGACAAAAATCAAATGTTTGAATGAACTTAATCATAAGTTCTTCAAACTAGGCTTCTTCTCCCGAGATGAGTTCTGCTATTGAAATCTAGGTGGATGATTCTATCTTTGTTGTCCTTGACCTCCCTAAGAGAAATTGGGGTGATTTCTCCAACCCGGATTGTAAACATTGTTGTATGGGTTGTTGTGAGTACGAGGAGCATTACCCATGTAATTAACTACCCCCTTGCAATCTCGGTTCGAATGTCCTTCTCCACATAACTCACACCGTATAACCCGAATCGGTTCTTGTACTACCGATAGACCATCCATCTTCTTACTCGCAGCCTCCACTCGAGTCGCTAAAGCCGTGACTACATCTACATCATAAACACCTGCTGGTTTATTTGGTTTTGTTCTAGTTGTGCTCCACTAGTAGTTATTCATAGCCATTTCCTCTATCAATTCCTAAGCTGCATCGGGTGTTTTGCTATTTAGAGTGCCTCCAGCCTACTACATTTATCATCTCGCCTAGTAGGTAGATTCGAACACCGTAGAATGTCCGAACTTGCAACTATATAGGTATGCCATGGTATGGGCATCTCCTCAACAAATCCTTAAACCGCTCCCATGTGTCATAAAGCGTCTCTAACTCAATCTACGTAAATGAAGAGATATCATTCTTGAGCTTTACGGTCTTTGTAGGTGGGAAGTATTTTGCTAGGAACTTCTCCGCCATTTGGCTCCACGTAGTAATAGATCCCCCGGGTAGAGAGTTCAACCACCGCTTGGCTCTACTCCTCCATGAGAATGGGAACAATCTCAATTTGATGGCGTCATCCGTAGCCCCATTGATCTTGAATGTGTCACGGATTTCCAAGAAGTTGGCCAAGTGAGCATTCGGGTCTTCATCTTGCAACCCATCAAGCTGCATAAATTCTTGCACCATTTGGATGATGTTCGGTTTGATGTCAAAGTTGTTAGCAAGAACAGTTAGTCCGACAATGCTAGACTTTGTTCCTGTCGAATTTGGTCTAGCATAATCAAACCCGGTTCTTTCTTCCTCGCCCATGACTATTCGCGGTTCTCCTTCCCTCCGATGTTCTTCTTCTCTTTCCCTATCTAACTCTTCTTCTCTTTGTTTAAATCGATTCCCGAGCTTTCGAAGAGTTGTTCTTTCTATTTCATGATCCGGCTCAACTAATTCGATCGAGTTGTTGCGAGTCATACACTATCCCGGGTCCTAAAAAAGCGAGCACGAACAAAGAAAAGCGTAATTCAAAGAAAATATGATAAAGCAAAATGGAACTAAATATTATATAAAAATAAATAAATAAATAAAATAAAGTGGCTAGATTAATAGAAATAAAGTTTTCCTAATATCCTAGTCCCCGACAACGAGCACCAAAAACTTGATAGCCCATTTCTTAACCTATAGACTTTAGGCAAGTGCACCTATCATTCTATAGTATAATTGACGGAGTATCGAGTGTCGACCCCACGGAGACTAAGAGTACTAGTAATTACCTCCCATTTATTATCTAACCGATGAATTATAGTGATAATGAATCAAATAAAAGCACCGATAATTAAAGCAAGATTACAAAATTGCAATAAGAATGATGATAATAACCGGATGAGCAATCAATGGTGAAGGTAGTACCTAGATAGCGAATCCCCTGTAGATTTTCTATGTAATCATAATGTCTTTTATTCAATCATTCTTTATATTCATTGGATCGTAGGCATTCCCGAATTATGCTAAGCACTTTTTCAAGTTAGCTAACACCTAATCACGAGTTGATTAATTGAAATCTCTTTCTAATTAACACCCTCAAGATCACATCAATCCGTTATATGAATCCCTTTATTAGATTTGACTCTAATCTAGAGGATTTATGTTGTTCTATCTCTAGGATTACATGCAACGCCTTTCGGTCATGGTTGATCTAATCATATTTAGGACTTTTCGGTCTCACAATATGAAATCGGATATGAATCAACATGCTAGCTTATGTTAACTCAAATTAGTAATAAAAGTGACATAACTGAATCACAATAAAAATAACAATTGCATTGAATGAAGATATCAAATTACATATTCAATCTTAGGGTTCATCGTATCTAGGTACCAAAATAATTTAGTTCATGATCAAAGCAAGGAATAGATAAATCTTAAACCGAAAACAATCCAGATTAAAGGAAAAAATTGTAACCCTTTTGATCTTGATGCAATCTCCTTCAAAATCTATCAAAATCCACTCCAACGGCGTTATCTTGCTCAAAAACCCTAGTTCTTTTCGTGCTTCTTATTCGTCCTCATGTATCTCAGCCCTCTCCTCCCTTTTTTAGATCGAGTTTCTAATTAAATAGGAGTAAAATATCACGTTTCATAAGACATGACCAGGTACATGATCGTGTCTTTTTTCGTGTAGTATAGATGTAATTTTTCCTCAAAGTAGATGGTTACACGGCCATGTACTTGCTCGTGTAACTCTATATTTTACGTATCGGCTTTTTTCTAGTTACACGACCATGTCCCCGGCCGTGTAACTCATTTGATATTCGAAACTCACAAATTTTTGCTCCTTCTTACTTTTTTTACATTCCTTTTTACCAAAATAATGTAGTATAACCTCGCGAACATAATTTAGACAAGATAAGTGCGAAACTTATACCATTTACCACCAAAGGTAATTGAAATATAGGAACTTTTGACACTAAAATTATGCATAATTTGGTACTCATCGGATACCCTTTAGCCACCAATGTAGCTTTGTACATATGCACATATCCATACATGTCAATCTTTTTTTAAAGATCCACTTACACCCAGTATGCTTAGCACCTTCAAGGGGATTAACCAAAGTCCATACTTGGTTAGTTAACATGGATTCCATTTTGAATTTCATGAATTCATGCCATTTTTCGAGTCAACCTCTAACATTGCTTCTTCATAGTTATTAGGTTTGTCATCTCGTATGACAAACACATCTCCACATGTTGAGACTAGAAGGCCATATCTTTTTTCTCTTGATGGATCCTCTAAGACCTACAAAGTTTATGCATTGGTTTGCGAGTAGTTACAACATGTTGTAACTTTTCTACTTAGGGTTCCTCTAGTGGAATGTCAATTTATGAGTCTTCTCAAATCTCATCGAGTTCGACCTTCCTCTCATAGGTTCGGCATTTATAAATTCCTTCTCAAGGAATACAACATGCCTAGCCATGAACACTTTTTTATTCTTATGGTTGGTAAAATTAATATTCATTTTTTTCCTTTGGATATTCCACAAATTACATTTTATTGATTTAGGCTTAAGCTTAACTCTATCTAAACGTTTGACAAATACTTCACAACCCCAAATGTTAGGGAAAGATAAATTTGCTTTTTGCCCTTTCCATATCTCATATAAAGTCCGATCAACGGACTTTGCTAGAACTTGTTCAAAATAAATGTCATTGTAAGGAGCACATATCCCCAAAATGATATTAGGATATCATTTTGACTTATCATGGATCGGACCATGTCTAATAGTGTCTTATTTCTCCTTTCGGAGACACCATTCATTTATGGTGTTTTAGCTGGGATCCATTGTCAAAGAATCCCATTCTCTTTTAAATTATCTAAAAATTCAATGCTTAAGTATTCTCCACCTTGATCTTATCAAGGTGATTTAATACTTTGCCGGTTTCTTTCTTGATTTCAAGCCTAAACTCCGAACTTTTTAGGGATCTAGATTTATGTCGCATGAGATACACATAACCAAAATGCGATCAATCATCGATAAAGGTTATGAAATAAGCATATCCTTCTCTAGCTTGGGTGGATATGGGCCTACATGCATCACTATGCATGAGACCTAACAAATCAGCGACTTTTTAACTTTTTCTATTATAAGGGGACTTTATCATTTTGCTAAGCAAACAAGATTCATAAACATCATAAAATTTATAATCAAATGATTCTAAATATCTATTTTTGTCCAGTTTGGATGTGCAATTTTCATTTTTATGACAAAGTTGACAATGCCACAAATATGTTTTGTTTGAATTATTAGCTTTGAGTCTTTTCGCATTTATGTTATGAATAGTTGTGTCTATGTTCAAAACATATAAACTGTTATTCACATTAGCACTTTCATATAAAATATCACCTTTATAAAAGGAAAAAATTTTATTCTTAAATAAAAA